AGTCTTTTCATATATACAGTCGGTAACAGTGGGTATTCGATTTACATTTACATTTGCAATTTTTGGTGTACAAAATGCATATGTTAAAGAAGCTTCTTTACTTTGCAATACTTTTGTTATCACGTCACCTATATATGGGTAACGGGTTCCGGGATCCTGTCAAGGATATGGGTGACGCTTTCTTATTCAAAAGAAATAAAATTTTAATCCTTTGCACTTGTAATTTATATTTAAGAAGGTTATCAATCAAGTAAGAAGAATCCCCTAGAATGTAATTATATTATATACAATTATATTATACATATAGAATTTAATTATATTATACATACATTTATTAATGTATATTAATGTTTATTAATGTAAATATATATATATAATAATAAAATGTAGAATAGTTAAAAACAATAGAAATAGAAAAGAGGTAGGACAAGTATGATGATCTGTTAGCAAACCATTTTGCATCTTTATACAATTTTAAGTTTAAAATTATCGTATGTGGTAACATAGGAGACTATTGTTACGAATTTCCACCGATAATACAGAACTTAGTTGAAGTTAGACACTCAATTAGAGACTTATATTCAGATCAGAATACTTAAAATTGACCTTGGAAAATCTTTGAACGAAACAAACGAAATAAAAGTAGAGGCATTGAAAACAACTAATTTAGAATTGGTGTTACAGATGGTTAATGAAAACTAAGAACTTATATCCCAACTAAATTTTATTTTAAAATATGCAAAATAAAAATATTAAAATTACTTCTGTTTATCGCTCCGTTTACTGGCTTTTCGGCAGTAACATTTGGACCTCGTGAGAAACTTAATTGAATCACGCTAGGCGATGAATATGTTAATGAGAGGTATATAGAAGGGAAATCTCAAGATTATGTCAGCAAAATGATGAGAATGATTCAAGATTTGAAAATGATTCACTAATTTGTGCAGTAGTTATAATACATTTATTATAAATACTCACTGTTACAAAAGTATTCGAAAACTTCATATATGCAATATCATTTGACATTAATATTTTGTTGGACCATCTTTTGTGGTAATAATTTGTCTCAGTCGGCGTTCCATATTATGAATCAGTGATTTTATTTATTTTGTAATTAAAATTACAATCGATGGATTTCCATATTTCTATAATTTTTTCTTTAAGCATCTGCTTTAAAAATATTTGAAATTTATTTAATTTTTTGTCTATTTCAGTCCATAAATTTTCGATGGGATTTATATCTGGATTCTGTGATAGAGTATTTAACATATGGAGTATGCAATCTATTTTTTCACGATTCGCGCTGTATATTTAGGATCGTTGTTTTGTTAAAAGTAGAAGCTTTCCTACAATCTCAACTTATTGGCACTATCTTTGAAGTTATTCTTCAGACTATCTAGAGATTTGTATTTATCGAGTATTTCCGTTAATAAATACTGCAATTACTGCTAGAAATATTAAATTCCTTGTACCATTAGCTGCTATATAGCCTCACATCATAACTATTATGTTTTATTGTTGGGTATATATTTTGTATATATCCAAATATTTGAATACTTGAACATCCCAATTTGATCTTTTCCATATATAATTTCGTCCATTCGATTTAAAAATATTAAACTTAGATTCATTAGAAAATATCATTTTTTCTCAAAAAGCATTATCTTTTGTTACAAATGTTTTTACAAAAATCAATCTTCTTTTGATTTTGCTTATTAATATACGGTTTCATCTTGGTACTCTATCATGAAAATTAATATTTCGTAATACTTGTCGACATAATTGGGGATAAATATCTTACTCAAACATTACTCAAACCGATATCTTCCGATTTTTGAAGGTGTAGGTGCAAATATAATAGAATTTTTGTTTACTTTGCGAATAATAACTTCTTCTTCTCTTTCAGTTAATTTTCTTGGTTAATCTGAATGAGCTTTATTCACAATTGTTTCTTCAGTTTTTGATTTTTTTATGATGTAATGTACCGTAGATTTACTTCTGTTTATAATTTTTGCTATCTCACTATATGATTTCATCCTTGTGCAGCCTAAGGAGAGTTTCTCCTTTACACTTTTGCGTTTTATTATTTTTTTGGATTTATTTTGAATATTATACCGTACACATTTATGTAGCCTTAATGGAATGATAGTTTGACATCAACTGAACGTAAAAATAATCTCACTTAATATCAGTATTTATATTTCTCTAAAATGTTTAAAAACTATCAAGAACATAGCATTCGAATACTTTTGTAATGTACTAATAATGCATGTTTATAATAAATGTATTATATCTACTACATAAATTGGTGAACCATTTTCAAATTTTCTTGACTCTTCTACTATCCCTCTACTTATATAATCTTAAGATTTCCATCCTATTATATACGTTTTATTATCTTACACAAGTTTCTTTAATCTTGAGATCTATGCATTTCTGGATCGATTATGCCAGCCTATGAACAATATATAATTAAAGTAAAGTAAGTAAAAAAGAATAGAAAAATCTAAATTTTCTTAATATAAATATTACAATTATAAGAATTAATAAAATCAAATGTGCAATTAAATATACTTATGAAATGCATAGCATAGATTCAATGAAAATATAAATGAGAAATAAGATATTTTATATTTTACTAGATTATTGTATTACTAGGTTTACTAGATTAATGCTATTACAAATTATATAAATATTTGATAAATCGTACTTTAATAATTATATTATTTTAAAATCTAAATTTATATAGAAAAAAATGTATGCATACATAGTAAAATTTAAAATTATTATACACACTTTTAAATTATATTTTATTATAAATATTCATTATGTAGAAAATCGTACATATTTTATTATTAATTTTAATGAAAAGGTTTTTATTAGAATTGATGAATAATCAATTTAATATATTTTTTGGAAAAAATTTTATTCATAATTAATTAATTTTTATATATATATATATATTATTTTATTTATTTATTTCTATAAAAGTATAAAAAGAAAATATAAATGTGCAAGGATCAGCTGAAAAGTATCTAATGTACATGTATTTAAACATCGAAAACAAAAAAGGAAAATATTTAAAAAAAATCAAAATAGAAAAGAAATTAGAATTTATTGGCTTCAGAATTGTATTTTTCAAAAATATTCTCATATAAGAAATATATAGAATAAAAATATACTCAAAATGTGATATTTTTTTCATTCCGTTGCTGAAATATTGTTACTATCTAAAATTTAAATCTAAAATTTCATAATTTTCTTTATTTCATTATTCATTAGTCACATCAATAAAACGAATATCCTTGAGATCCTTTTTGAAATATGAAAGAAATTGGAAATATAATTTTGAATTATACGAATAACGATATATTCTAAAATATTAAATATTCATGAATGATTAATGCAAACGAAACTATATCTTTTGTACATTTCTAAAGAAAATAATTACATTTCGATAATGTATAATGCTCTTTTTATTTTAAAATTATAAACTGATATACACTACTTTTTAGACCAGCTTTATATATGATAATAATAATTTTTTAAATTTTCAAATTTCATAGAACAAAATTTTATTATTATTATTATTATTTTCAATCAAAATTGAGACTTTACGATAAAAAATAATAATTTCTGGAAATAATAATAAAATTAAATAATAAAAATTATAATAAATAAGCTTGTTAACTTTATAATGATAATAAATCATGAAGCATTTGTTTCTTGATTGTCAATAATTGTTTTTCTTTATATGCGGACATTATATCCCTTTATATACATTTATAATATCATTCAAAAATTATGATTAACAATATAGAATAAATAGTATAGAAAAAACACATTTTTAAAAAATAAAGTAATTTTTGTTTCGTTTTGAAAACAGATTTTCAAAGATTTTATGAATTTTTATTATTTTTTTCATTCGTTTTATATTTGATAAATTTTTATTAAAAAACTTTTGTATTACAAATGGCGATATAGATATCGAGATAAGTACCACATGAAATATTTCATAATTTAAATCAATTTTTAATCTAAAACATGCACAAAATAATTAACTTTAATTTTTAATTACTTTTCCATTACCCAGAATATCTGATTTTATTTTTTTATTTGGCCAATTCTTTTTTAATTTAATATATAATAATTTATAATAACTTTTTACATAATTAATTATTTTTTTCTTATTCCAAATATATATTTTTTATCGATACAAAATATTTCTTATACATTGTTAAAATCGAAAGCATGAACGACTTTGAATATTGCACAAATGTAATTCCTAAAACTGACATTACTACTCGAAGGTGATACTTTAATTTTTTGTGTACTTTAACCATTCTAACTGTAATGATTCTAACTGTATCGTCGTTGAAATCTGTCTCTGTCTGTTTTTTATGTCTATTCTAACTCAACTTCTAGACTGTTCTACTCAGACTAAATCCTGGTTTTTCTTCCAATTCTCATTTCCAAGAAAATGGACACTGAGAGAGGAGAGACCAATCGTCGTGTTAGAGAGCGATTTCGAAGGATGAACGAAGTTGCATCGTAGCGCGTAGGGGTGAGAACCTTTGAGATCGCTTCCAGGTGGTCCATCATATGGCGTGTGACTTGTAAAATGATCGTCGTGCTGAGGCATTTTGCAGAAATCGAAATCTGGAAAACATTACAAAAACAATCCCCACTTTTAAATTATTGTTATAACTATTGGCAAGTATTCGTATATAACTGTTGAAAATAAAGACTGGACCCGATGATTACATAAACTATGGCTTTAACAATAACACAGTTTCTTCGACATATTATTTCAATTTGTTCTTTTTCAATTGAGGGCACATAGTCAATATCTTTATGCTTAGACTACATACTTAATTGGCAAATGTTTTTCGTTAATAATACGTAATTAACAAAAATTTTTGCATAGGAAAATATCAATATTATCTTAAAAATTTCTGGATTATCGGATACGTTCCCACATTTTTCAAATATCTTGAATAATTAATTTTTTCGTCCTATTTTACTACATGACGTAGCGAGTAAGTATAAAAAATATTCAGTCGGAAGTTTCGAAGATAATTGCTGTATATACGCATTTAATAAATTATGCGTTTCTTCTTCGTAATTCCAATAGATATTTGATATACCAATCTCTTCATAAACTTGTTTCACACGTTTTACTTTTTCTTCATCAGCTATTCCATATTTATTAACATTTCTAGATGATATTAATATTATTAATAATTTATTCCATTTAATAGAATATAATAAATTTGAGATATTAATCATGATAAGTTAACTTTTAAAATTTTCTTTTGTTCGGCTGTAGCTCTCTGCAATCACAATGGACCATGAACATTTTCCTTCTTGTATATCAGTTCCACTTTTTCCTCCGATTTCTTGTTTACTGTAATAATCCAAAAAGTCATTTTGTACTTGAAAAAAATGACTTATTTTTATCAGAATTTTTTCTGCTTCTCTATGCATTTCTGGATCGATTATGCCAGCCTATAAACAATATAAATTAATTAAAGTAAAATAAGTAAAGAAGAATGGTAAAGTTTATACTTGTTTAATATAAATATTACAATTATAAGAATTAATAAAATCAAATAGTACAATTAAATATACTTACGAAACGCATAGCAAGACTGAATGGAAGTATAAATGAGAAATAAGATACTTTGTGTTTTACTAGAATATTGTATTGGTCCATAGAAAAAACATCAAAATTTTTCTTCTTTTCCCAATCTATCGATAACAATATATCTAGACATTCACCATATCCTGTTTTTCTATGATACTAGAAATTACATAAATATTTGATAATTCGTACTTTAATAGTTACAATATTTTAAAATAAAATATAAATTTATAAAGAAAAAAATGTATGCAATATAATTATTGTACACATTTTTTAATTATATTATTATAAGTTTATATATTTATATATATTATTATATAACATAAATTATATATAATAATATATATAACATCTTCCTATGTATTATATATATATATATTATATTATTATAAATATTCATTATTA